TGTTTTGAACTCTGCATCTGTTAGATTACTTGACTCCATTATATCTGGATCTCTGTTCTGTTCTCTCATATGGTTTCTGCTTCTTTGTCTTCCCATTTTGGCTGCCTTTCCATATCTGTTTCTATGTACTAAGCCAAGCTCCTAAGTCTCCCAGTCTTATTAGCGTGGCATAGTCCTGAGAGGGGTTCAGCTGCAGGCCAAATTCAGCTCAAGCTTCTGCCCCTCCAGGGCCACCTGTTAAGATTCAGCAAGCAATCCACAGATGTGCTTATAGTTGCTTCAAAAGGCCACACCAGAAACTCAAGTCAGCTGCCTCCAGTGTCAGTCTAGGCACTGCTCAGCAAGGAGCACCTGACTCGCTGAGGTTACACCTGGATGTGGCTTGGGTGGGGCCACAAGTTGGGAGAGACGAGGTCTCAGGGAATCCTCTGGGCAGAGAGACCTCTGTTATCCAGTTTGATGCCGTCAGGGCTATGGTGGCACTGTGTCCTGTGCACTGGGAGAGGGGATGGCTCAACAGGGAACAATGGATATCGCTGGCATTTCTGTACAGAGTGAGTCTTGCCTGAGCCCTCACTCCAACAATTTCTCCTTGTAAGACCCTGGTGCCCTCTGCGCACAACCGAATCAGCACTAGTGCTCAGAGCGAGCAAGTCTGTCACCGCGAAAATCCTCTCGTGGACACAGCCCTTTTAAGAGGCTTCTGCTGCTGCTGCAGCCACAGCCTCCGTCTCACTCAGCTGCTAGAGACCAGGCAGCCCCGTGTCCTTGTCCCATCCTACCTTCTGACGTTGCAGGGTGATACCTTAGATTTCTCAGATTTCTCCCTAGTTGTATGGCTTGTTCTTCTAGATCTCAGGCAATTTTTCCTTGCTGCTGCTCCTTGTTTCTGTCACAACTTTTATTTGGTCACCAGAGGGATGAACAGAGACTCTATCATATATGCCATATTTTTTTCCTCCTTCATCTCTACTTTCTGTTCTGATCCTCACAATATCTATGCAAAGTTGATTTTATTTTTCCCTTAACTTATAACACCAAAACTCCAAAGGTGAATTAAACTGGCGAAAGTTATACATCAAAAGTAAGTGGTGAGGACAGGTGAGGACTTAGGTGTGTCTAGCACCAAAGTCCAAGTGCTTTCCACTCTGCAATACTGTCCCCCGCCTCCCTACAGCCACCATCCTTCACTTTACTAGCACTGACTCCATTCCATTTGTGATCGTCTCTCCACGTGCATCTGGTACAGCTCTTTCTCTTTGAGTTTCTTTTCCTCTATGTTTTTGTTGTATCCATGCCTCTGCCTTCTTTGAGCTCTATGTCTATCCAACCTATTGCATTATTTTAGACTCCAACGCCATGGTTCTTAACTCTATTTGGGGCCATGAACTCACTTGTGAATCTTATGAACACTCTTCCCCCGAAAATGGACTTTGCAGACATAGCTATATAGATTCTTTGCATACTATTTTAGTATATTCATGGACCCTCCAATGTCAAGGTCCTCAGATTAAAATCTCTGCTGTGAAGCTTTAAATGCATATTGTAGCTTCTCAGATGAAGCAGATGACAGTGATCTTTCATTTTGTTTTCCTGTGAGCCAATGTATATGTTCTCTGAGGTAATGCACCTCTGATTGTTCCAGAGAAAGAAATATGATGCAAAATAAGAAATCTGAAAAATAATCAAATACTTGAGTATGATACAGCAGGTACTGAAATAACATAGTTTCTGTAACGATGTTAATGAGATGCCGTAGGAACTTAACTCTTGTTTATAACAATTAGCCTATGATAAAATTGGTTTTGTCATACTTCATGTTGTTTAAAGTAGCAGAACCTATTGACGATGTTAAAGTAGAGACTATTGTACTTAATTGGTACCGAATATTAAATATTGTAAAAATAAAACATTAAACATCTATGAAAGGACCAGCTTATGATAAACAATATATTGCAGACTGTTTTCATGGTGAATTGGTTAATGGTGTTAGTTTGTTTGTTTGTTTGTTTGTTTGTTTATTTCCCCCTCTTTAATTCCCTCCGCCCCACTTCCAACCCTGACCCATGGATGTTTCCGTTTCCCCTTAAAAACTAGATCTCTGAAGGTGGGGCGTCCCCTCCCGCATGCTCCCAGCATGCACCTGGGGAGCCTGGTTTCCCCCCGGGTATGGTCCATAGCTCCACCTGGGGTGTGAACCCAGAACCTTCTGCATGCAAAGCAGATGTGCTAACCATTACACTATGGGGCCACCCCCTAGTGTTTATTTTAATAAATATATTTTCATTTGTTTCCTTTTTTCAGAAATGAATGCTAAGGGAGTGATCCTGAATGCATTTGAACGCTATCGCCTAAAAACGTGCATTGACTTCAAGCCTTGGACTGGAGAAACTAACTACATATCAGTGTTCAAGGACAGTGGGTAAGTTGATGAGTTTGTCTTCTAAAGGTAGTAATGAGAACTGTTGTGGCTGGGGCATTATATCACAGCAATTGCCCTAGGCCCTGAACTTGAGGGGGGGTGGGGGCTTCCTTCGCTGTTCATTAAAGAGTAAAAGACAGTTGGCTCTAGTTTCTGTAGCCATAAAATAATATTTTCATACATGCAAGCAGACTACCCTTTTTTTAGTTAAAGAAGGTGGGATCAATGCCATTTGTCCCACAACTTCATAAACTTCAGCTCATTTGCAATTCACATACTCCTTATGTCCCCATTCAAGTAAAACATATGTGCGTGCGTTTGTGTCTTCAAATTTATTTTAATCTAACGACTCTTAATACTTGAGTTAAGAAGGTATTTATTATATATAATAATAATATGATGTATATTTTATATATTTAGTGTTATTTGTCTGGAGCTCAGCAATTCTGAGTGGTTGCTGTACCTGTGAAATCCTTATTAATGGTTAGTGGCATAGCAAAGATGATAAGAAAGACTTGGAAATTTCTAGAAAAATCAGGATGAGGCTGACTTGGGGATGACTTGTTCCTATGTTGTATTTGGTGTGGGGGCAAGTTCTCCAAAGATCATCTGATCTGGAAGATTTTTCATACCTGACAAGGATTATGAGAGAAATGCACTGTCAGGATCCTTCCATTGTGAAGGATTTAAAGTGGGTATCTAAATAAATTAGGCATTGCGGATTTTGCCCTGAGACCTAATCTGCATCATTATAATATCCTCTCTCCTTTCTCCTATAAATGTTCCTGTAAGCTGCTGGTCTTCAGTGGGAAATAGGCATGTTGGGAGGCAAGAACTCTCTATTGGGGCAAACTGTGACAGAATAGCAACTGTTCAACATGAGTTTCTCCACGCACTGGGATTCTGGCATGAGCAGTCACGGTCTGACCGGGATGACTATGTCATGATAATGTGGGACAGAATTCAGTCAGGTATATTTCTCTTGTTTTCTTACATTTTTAGTTAAAGACTGAATTTCTTAGCATTGTTCTCTCTCCTGACATCTGCGCCAACTGTTAATAATGGGAAAACTCTGATGTTTTGATATCTTACTTCATTTAGCTCTAACTCAATATGAATTGAGGTGGCTGAAGATTGTTGGGCACAGTATCCAAGAACCCTAGTATGTTCGAGCTGGATGTGATCTTAAAAACTAATGTTTCCTGAAGCATGTTTTATGAAATACTGTCCCACAATGTGCTGTCCACACAGATATTGTGTGGAAAGGAATCTGTGGTCAAATTAGTTTGGGAAATCTTAGGTTAACAGAAATTAAACTTATAATTACTTACACTGTTAGTCTTTGTTAGATTAACATAAATTGTAAATGTCTAAGAGAGGAGCATTTCCCATAGTGACTTGACCACGGTCCTTTTGTGTTTTCTTTTTGTAGAATATTTGGGTTTATTGTTCCTTGGAACCCATACTGGGAAATACTGCAGTGGTTGGACAGCCTGAACTTTTTGTGACTTTGTGTTCCAACTCGTAAAGTCTTAATCACCATGCCTGATGAGAGCTCATGTTTTCCACATTTTTTTCCACAGTGACACTTAGTTTCGTATCTGTAGGGGATGGCGGAAGGAATGGCATTATTATCATGTGAGGCTCTGAACTGAGGCCACCTGATATCACAGTTTTAACATCATAGCTTGCTCCTTACTGCCTCCCACCCCAGTGTCTAATGATCTCAACTGGGGTAAGGCAGCGCTGCAAACTAAAAGATTTCTAAAGCCAGAGAAGTGTTTAGCTTTATGCCATAGCCTCATTCTTTAGGATTCTCAAAGTTTTATTTTTGGTAGAAACATCTGCCTAGATTTGATAATGCATCTATGTGCTGTGGAGATCAGATCTACCTTATTGTGTCCACAAAATCATCTGATTGCAAGTAAAATCAGTTACCCATTACTATGATGCTGAGTAGCCTGGTATCTTCTCTAAATGTAGTCACTTAAAATGTATCTACACATATTCCAGTAACCATGAAACCCCTGACTATGCCAATCCTTTCTGATGTCTCTACATTATCATTCCTAGGTCTCATCTCACCCCACCTCCCAAAGTCCTCTTACTTTCATCTCCATCTTCTGTGGATGCCCCCACCCTCTCATCATCACCTGCCAAAGGCCCTAATTGTTTCAGCAACACCTTTTAGAATCCTCCTTTCCATGAGCGGTTCTTAGAACTTAGGCCAGATGCTAATGTCCAGCTTTGGGTTGTAATGAAAACTTAGGCGTGTTCGACATGACTGCTGGTACCATAATTCTAAGCTACAATATTATATTTGAAGACAGAAATATATGAAATATCCTTGAAATACTATAGCTTAGTTGTAGCAAAGGTTGTACTATGTTTATTATAGCCTCCATTTCTAAATTACCAATATTTGGAGTAAAATAAGTTGAATTTTATGAACATCAAGTGATTGAAACTTTTTTTATTTATCATTTAGGCACAGAGTACAATTTTAACAGCTATAATGACCAAGTCTCAGACTCTCTGAATGTCCCCTATGATTACACTTCGGTCATGCACTACAGTAAAAATGCATTCCAAAATGGAACAGAACCAACAATTGTAACAAGAATCTCAGACTTCATGGATGTGATTGGCCAACGAATGGATTTCAGTGAATATGATCTCTTAAAATTGAATCAACTATATAATTGCAGTATGTGTTGGGTTCTTTGAAATGACTTCTGTTTTTCTCTGCTATATAGGGAAAAATTACACTGTGTCATTTTGCTGAGCATTGCTGCATTTTCTGAAATTATAGAAGTTTGATATTCAGGAAAAAAAGTAGAATAGCACCCAAATTCCAATTTCAAACTTGGAAGCAGCAATTTTCTTCTCTTACAGTCTGGCCTTTAGAACTAAAAATAAATTGGATCTTATAGGAACGTGCTCCCTATATGTTTTTGAAGCTGTTACTAATTTAAATGTGGACCACTTTTTAGCCAAAATGAGGTGTATGGTCGTAATATAAATGAGATCAAATAACCTGGGTGGTGGCTTAATAATCTGAATAACTAGATGAGTGTAGACTTAGGTTTCTATAATTAGATAATTTAATAAGAAGACTTGGGGCAGGCAGCTTATTCAGATATACAGAGTTGATCAATGTCTTGGTAGCAAGATCTTGGTAGCAGAGATTTTCAAGCCACCATCACCTAGCACCATTTAATGTCATGCTGGCAGTCCTAGAACTTCTCAGATAAGCTCAGATTTTATTACTTAGATTATCCTGTTATATGAGTGTCTACAATTGTTTTTTGATTTTGCAGCTTCTTCCTTGAGCTTTATGGATTCATGCGATTTTGAACTGGAAAATGTGTGTGGTATGATCCAAAGTTCGGATGATAATGTTGACTGGGAGTGGGTTTCACAGGTTCCCATGGGGCCAGAGAGTGATCACTCCATCATGGGCCAGTGCAAAGGTAATAGGAGTGAGATGCTTCTAGGCTTTACTTACACATGGTTCTAACCTTTTCCTTTGCTACGAAAGACTATGGTTCTATCTCTAATTTCTATCAGAATTCTTCATGGTAATCATTAGGTTGCTGCTAAGGAATAGGTTCTGTGCCTTATAAGGCCATGGTTAATTTCTTTGCTTTTACTCTCTGAGTTTGCTTTTCTTTCTGTGAGTCAAAGCTGGGCTCCATGAAGCCTCTACCCCACTGAACGTACCCACAGCAAGAGAGGACTGTCTCTCCTCTAAGGATGCTTATCTCTGAAGTAGTGGGGATATTTTCTTGAAGATCACAGAATACAAGAGACTTTCTAGTGAACACCACTGGGCTGTGAATTAATCAGCTTCAGAATTTCAACTGGTTGTGATTATATGCTCCTATTACAAAAGATGCTTAAAATGAAGGTAGACATTTATTTAATTTTATTCAGATAAGTATCCTTTTCCATTGTCATTTTTTAAAATTAAATAAGCTTTTATTTGGCTACAACTACCACATTTTTATTTATTTGCTCATTTCTGGCAGCAAATATGTAAAATTAGACTTCAGAACCTAGGGCCACTGCTTGACAGCTCAGGTGATCTAGGCAGGGGATGAGATCTCCAATATTGAAGAGGTGCTTTTCCTTTTCCTTTCCTTTTTTTTTTTGATGGGAGAGAGTATGAGGGGATAGCACAGATGTTGTTTAAGGTTATAAACTTGCAACAAATAGAAATAAGCCCTAGAGATGTAACGCACACCATAGTGAATATAGATAACAAATCATATTATAATCATCGAAACTGCTAAGAGACTAGAACTTAATTATTCTAACTACTAAAAAAAATTATGTGGCGTGATAGAGTTGCTAGTTATCACTACAATAGCAATCATATTACAATATAGAAATGTATCAAATTAACATATTGTATACCTAAAATTTACACAATTGTAAATGTCAAATATATTTTGATAAAAAATATATTTTTTTAAATACGGATTTGGATAGTGGATAGTGGTCCTATATAGGCCAGAAGGAGGGAGGAAGAAAAGGAGGAATGGAGGAGAGAGAGAGAGATATTGAGAGAGATTGAGAGAGATTGAGAGAGATTGAGAAACTAGATCAGTAAGTGATACTTTTTCCCATTTTTGAAAACTAACATCTATAGTAAGAAAAATGTTGTCTGATGTTGTCTCTTTCATAAACTGCCTCCTCCTAGAACCATATTTAAATGCCCAACTCAGTGCCCTGCAGACAATGGGAAGTAAATGGAACTATGATGCTCACAAGACACACATTTCTATATCTAGTATCTATTTTCTCTCAACTCTGCTTTTGTCTTCTTAACAGGTTCTGGTTTCTTTATGCATTTTAACAGTAGCACTGTAAATGAGGGGGCCACAGCAATGCTGGAAAGTAGAACACTGTACCCTAAAAGAGGATTTCAGTGCTTGCAGTTTTATGTATATAACAGTGGAAGTGAAAATGACCAACTGAACATCTATGTCAGGGAGTATTCTGCAGACAATGTGAATGGTACTTTAACTCTCCTGGAAGAAATAAAAGGTACAATATCAACATTCTTATTGTTTGGGTTCAGAGTGTGGCCATCTTAATTCTACTTAATGCAACAACTCACAATAGGGTAGGGGCTCTGGATTCATCACTTTTCAATGTAGAACTTGAGACCCCTTGTTTTATGCTGTGGTAAGGATGCTAAAATGAGGGTCCTTTGTGTGCTATAATGTATGACACTCATTTAAGAGACTGTTGATCAGTCTCTGGCACTGATAAGGTCAGTTCTTGGCAAGTAATAAAAATACAATGGAAACCAATGTAGGCAAAATTGGATAAGCTACTGGCTAGATGTAACTAAATTGTGGAATGGAAATCCTCAGGCAAGACTGGACTTGTTCTTGAACAAGGTTGGGGACCTCTCGCGTTTTCAGGTGGACTTTGTCCATAAAACTGGTGCTTCGACTGTTTCACTTCCCAGCTTACATCTTTTGCTATCAGACTAGAAAGGGGACCTTTCCTCTAGTTTCTAGCTTAAAAATAAGTCTCAGTGAAGGGTTCTGATTTTTATGACTTGAGTTAAGTGTCGCTTCTGGAGCAATGCCTGAGTGTTGAGAAGGCAATGCTGTGGCTGGGCGCCTAGCTTTCCTTTCAATCCCTGGTCAGAGAGGTGGTTGATGGTTAAGAAGTTTCCCTGAGGCGGAGGGGCTGTGGGCCAGCAACTGTATTACCGTCTGCTCCACATATTGACCTCTTGGTTTGACTTAATTGAGTAAAACCTATTATAAAATCGATTCACATTATGCTATATGTCATGCCATTCCCCTTCTTCCCTATTTAGCTACGAGAAACAGTTTGAAATATGATAATATTTTCATTTGTGAGGTTCTTAATCTCATTTTATATATATACACACCATGTACTATACATATATCTTATATGTAATTACATATAATATGTAATACATACATAAGATATATTATAGATATAGATATTCCTCTCCATCAAAAATCTGTGGTGGTATCACTGATGGACAATAGCACTTAAGAAACTTGCTTAGGAATCTAGAATTTAAACCGTACTAATAATAATGCAGTGGAAGCTCTCATAAAGGTTTTTGTTCAATCTAGAGTCCATCCATGGACAATAGCATTTTCTGTAATTTGGATATTTCTAACTTATTTTCAAGGAATTGTGTTTTGCATTAAGTGCTTCTGTATTTAAGTTTTAAGTCATTATGTTCACTACTAGTTTTACATGAATTCCTGAGCTGTTCTCTATGTGGCACCTTCTGAAAAATTTTAAATGTACTGCTTCTTATTTAGATATGTGATATAGGAAAATAAGACAGGATGGCACAGCATGTGCTGCTGGCCAAGAGTAGGGGAAAATAGTGGAGGGGGAAGTGCAACTTGGGGAGAAAAGAGGTGGTACAAAATGTCAGATAATATTTATAATGTTGAGTCACTGCTAAGTGATCTAAGGAGTAAATTGTAGGATGTGGGCTTTCTAGGGTTTGGTGGATTCCTGTTTAATACTGCCGAAAAATTGATTAAAATTTTGCATGTGATGGATGTATTCCAATCAAAGTATACAAGTATTAACGGAGGTTTTGGCTGACTATCACAGGAATCTTTGGTACGAGTGTAGAATATTGGGCTTGCCTGACCGTTTAGCTAACAGAACTAATATGGAGTGAAAGGTAACTCGTAAGTAGGGCATGTAGTACTCATGAGTTAGATGCTGCTGCTTGCTCACTCATCTCTGGAAAAGGGTAACCTCTCTGAGAAACAACTAGATAAACACCCAAATATTCCAGAGAGGAGTCCGACCCCACAAAAATACCTTGAAGTGAAAGGACCTGGGCTGGAGGAATGAGAAAGCCATACCTCAAACCTGTAGGAATCAGTAGCTCTAGGATGATCATTTATCCATGAGAGTTAGAACTCATATTGATTTGCATATGATTCATAGTCCTTTCTTTTCTTTAAAATAATAATGTCTCTTTTGCAGATATACCCATTGGGAACTGGCAACTCTATTATGTAAAAATGAATGCAACCAATAAATTCAGAGTGGTGTTTGGAGGAGTCAGAGGCCCTGGTGCATCATCGGGTGGCTTGTCTATTGATGACATCAATCTTTCGGAAACACAATGTCCTCATCATATCTGGCATATAAGGAATTTCACAGAGCTCATTGGCAGCCCAAATGGAATTCTATATAGCCCTCCATTTTATTCTTCTAAAGGTTATGCCTTTCAGATTTACTTGAATCTAAACCATTCGACTTATGCAGGAATATATTTCCACTTGATCTCTGGAGCCAATGATGATCAGTTACAGTGGCCATGTCCTTGGCAACAAGCCACGATGACACTCTTGGATCAAAATCCTGACATTCGACAGCGTATGTCCAACGAGCGGAGTATAACTACAGACCCATTTATGACCACTGGTTCGTGACTCATTTTCTTTATTGCTAATACATGATCATAGCTCTCGGAGGGACGAAGGTTTTTGGAATGAGAGACTGCAAAGTCAGGTACCTAGTGAATTTTGAGCCCCAAAATTAGGAACAGAAGATATTTAGGAGAAGGTCTTCAGTCATGGAGAGTGTCCC